CTATCTATCTATCTATCTATCTATCTATCTATCTATCTATCTATCTACCTGTCATCTATCTATCTGATCTACACCTACCTACGTTCATCATTAGCATCTGTCTGTCTTACCTCTCTGGTAAGCGTTTTGATTGCTTTATGTTTTTCTTTGATACAAGATCTCACTATGTATCCCTGGATGGCCTGAAACTTGCTTTGTAGACCAGGCTGGCTGCAAATTCAAAGAGATCTGCCTGCCTCTGCCTTCCCGAAAGCTACTGCTAGTATTAAAGGTGTATGGCATCATACCTGACTCTAATAAATGTTTTTATAAAACAAGCACAAAGTATTTTACAAGAATAGACAAGAACTTTTCTTTCTACCTTCCTTACATATTAGGAAGCATGCCAGAAGACATTGGTCTGGTCCATGAGGAGCGGATGAGTGTTAACAGATGTTGACACAGGTGAAGCACCCTGGGTCAAGGAAATGGCAGATGCTGTGTGTGATACAACAGCAAAAAGTCACAGAGGGTATTCTGGAGAAGAATAAGATCTAAATAAGTATGGCCCTAAAATGGCCAGTAGACACCAATACTGGAAATGGTAGTTGGTAGAAGACTCAGAATAATTCCAATCTCAGAGTGTAGGACTCATCTTTCAGTAAGCAGTGGAGGGTGGGTGCTGAAGTCCCTGACTGGTGATTATGAAGCAGGGAAGGGTTTGGATGTTGGTATTCTGGTGAGAGAATGGGGAAGCAATGGAGACGTGGGCACTGGAGAGGACCTTGCTCAGTTTGTCTTGGTAATGGAAGCCTAACCAGAATCCTGACAAGAGGAGAGAAAGATGTCGTAGCCTTATTTACAGGTCCTTAAATACAGCATTGGAACAACAGGGAAAGTAGAGAAAGCTATGCACATCCAACTGTTACCATCACAGAGGAGGACAAGAGACCATAGCTTCTCATGCCTGCGTCCGGAGATGAGGTGGTGGTGCGCTGAGACGCTGCCGATGAGAACTGAGAGCCCTGGACTAATCTGCCATGTGCTCCAGCAGCTGCTGCTCTCTACAGACCCTGGTATTTGGCTCCAAGAACTGAGATCCTGGGATGGGTGCCACCCTTTACAAACACTGCAGCTGTGCCCTCTGGAGTGTCCCCAGGGGCCGGGGGTAGGAGGGGAGGAGGAGCTTGAGGCAAGAGAGAGCAAACTTGTCTACACAAATCATGGAATGATATGGCACATTCCACCCTGGCATTGTTATCAGAGCCAAGAGGCTGAGGCTGCACAGGTTAGAGGTCCCAGAAGACAATCAGCCACAACTGCTCTGTTAAATGGGCATAATATTAAACGGACTTCTAATTATCTACTGCTATACACGGAGATGAGAGCCTCTCTCAGATCTCGTTAGGGAAGGCTGTTTTTGCAGGAGATGGTGATTGACATAAGGATTCACAACTAGTACAGGAGTGCAGAATAAGAGACTATGGAGTGCTCAGCCCAAAATGAGACGTCTGTACCGCTCCAACCAAACAAAGTATTCAGGGCACAACGAGGTATTTATATATAGTGCGGGATAGTTTTATGTCAACTTGACACAAGCTAAAGTCATCAGAGAGTTGGGAACCCCAGCGGAGAAAATGTCTCCATAAGATGGGGCTGTAGAGCAAGCTTGTAGGGTATTTTCTCAACTAGTGATTACTGGGTGAGGACCCAGCCCATTGTGTGTGGGTCCACGCCTGGGCTGGTAGTACTGGACTCTATAAGAAAGCAGGCTGAGGAAGCCATGAGGAATAAGGCCAGCAAGTATCTCCCTTCATGGCTTCTGCATCAGCTCCTTCCTCCAGGATCCTGCCCTGTTTGAGGTTTTGCCCTGACTTCCTTCAATATCCAACAGTGATTTGGAATTGCAAGCCAAATCAACCCTCCCTTTCCCAGGCTTACGTTAGCCATATTGTTTCCTGACTGCAATGACAACCCTACTTAGGACACTTATTCGAACTCACAGAGCTTGTGACAGCACATGGAGACCTGCACAAGCTCATGTCGGACAAAATCCCAGCAAGGAGAGGGGTGAAGTGGGGCGCAAAGTCCCACTGCGAGCTGAGCTGCTATAGATAACTGATCACTGTTAGCAGAGGAAAATTTAGTTTTCTTTAAGGGCATAAGCCCTGGTAGATGAGCAGCGCTTCAGTGGGTGGCCAGCACCGTGAGTGTATAGGCAACAAATACTGGCTTTAGTGGGTTCAAAAGAATGAGGACACAATGTTGAGTGGAGATGGGAATGGATCTGATAGGAGTCGGGGGTGTACAAACAGAATACAGTTTATGAAATTCTCAAGCATTGCTCAAATGTACATTTACTGAAGCTGGCTTTTAAAAGATGTTAAGAAGTATCCATATTACTCCTATCCAGTGGTGGCATCTAGCTTTTATGATGGGACTTACACTGACAGAGACAAAACGCATTCTAGGAAGCAGTGAAGGGGTGGATGGTCAAAGCCCAGGAGAAACTCGGGGCCGATTAAGAAGGCATGAATGCTTTCTAAAACAGCTGGTGTGAGAGTCAAGCCCCATTATACTGCCTCACCCTAAGGGCCTGGCACTGTACAGTACACGAGTTCTCTGAGCTACCCCAATCAAACCCTTCTTGGCATTTACTCATTATGTTTTAGACTTAGAATAAGAGAGGTGAGTTAACCTGGAAAATGTCATTCAATTGTAAAATGGCATAGCCTACAGTCAAATGCACATCTGTCAGTCTCTTAACCTTTTTAGACACAGTACCACTTTCTTAGAGAGAGAGCAGGATTCAGATCTAGCTGCCAGCAGGCTACAGAGAGGGCACAGGATACAAGTACACAAGAGTGCATTAATGAAATGCAATGGTAGGAGGTAGTCAGGACCCTGGAATTTGAAATCAGAAAAACTGGCTATTAATTACATTTCATTACTGTATAGTCTTGAGCATTTAAATCTCTAAGTTTCTACACTCCTGCTGCAAAGTTGGGACTATAGGGTGCTTGCCATCCTGGGCTCTTTCAAAGAGGAAGTGCACTGAAGTGTGTGATGGAAACGTTAGCCAATATTGCCCTTATTATCATATTTACAGTTCTTCAAGGACATAACATTCTGCTAAACACCAGCTGAAACATAAAGTGCAGAACCAACACATTTATCTCTCCTTTGTTTTAAAAAGAGGGGACAGGGAAGGCACAGAGACCCTGGAAAAGAGCAAAGAAATTCATGCTTCCGCTTGCAGGGGAGCGAGGCTGTCACTGACAGGATAAGTATTCCCAGGGGTCTTTGGCTTTGTGGCTGCTTCTGCCTTAAGCTAGAAGCTGAATAAAGTCGTAATTAACCTCAAGCTTCCCACTAAGGCTGCCGCTGCCGAGTTACGATTTGAAAGCAGTGTGATATGAAATAGCTAGAGTTCACATGTGTGGAGCCGAATGCTCCAGGAGTTCTGCATAATTGATATTGGAACATGTCCATCCCGAGGAAGCGTTGAGAGCATATCTAAGCCTCTCTTCTTCCCAAAGTTGAGGCTTTTGAGTGAGATGCTGTCAGTATTTAAAATGTCTGAATTACCCTTGAGTACATCATCCCCGCCAGCCAGGAGAGGCGTGCTACGGCCCCTCCCCCAAATACAGACGTGTCTCATTGTGTGCTCATGAGTTAGGCACAAAAATATAATATAAAGGGCTTCTGCTTAAAGCATTGTAACTCTGGAGATCTAGTTTCCCTATAGGGAGGGATTGGTGTTCTGTGCCTGGAGAGGGAGAGGGCAGCTCTCCAACCCATTACACCTGTGGTAGGTGTTGAGATTCAGTATAGTGGTAATTATGCACCTTCAGGATGGCAAGCTGTTGAGCTTGGATGTTTGTTTTCTAAGCTCCAGTCTCTCACCAAATTGCTCTCTTTTCACATAAAAATAGCAAATCTTAAAAATTAGTTAAAGTTTAATGCCATCAATACAACTCAAATTTAGCATCCTTGGTGTTTTGTATTTGTTTGCTTTCTAGATGCCCATCAAAACTTCATTTTAGAATCACATTTATAAAGTGTGGGGATCTAAAGAGCTCTTAGCACACATGTCAGAAGCATCTATTCTCTCTCAGGGGGGTTTCCAGGGATGCTCAGAGGAAGTAATGTCTGTCTGGTAGGAGGTGAAGGCCCAAGCAGGTGACATCCATCTACTGAGAACTTTTGAATTTGGTCATGTAGTTCTTTGCTTGATCGTTCCTTTCTTCCCTGATCTCCCTGGCAATACCCCTTCAGCTTTATGTTTTAAACCCAGATCAGATGTCACTTCTTGTCACTTTCCTTCACCCCTTTTAAGCCTGAATCTCTGCTTTCACTTTGAAGCTATGCTCTGT